AGGAGCTCTTTGAAACAAATTCATGGAAAAATAAAATAGTTTAATGTATTGAAAAATTATTCACTTGGCACATCAGTGCCTTCAGTAACACTACAGTGCATTTATTCAATATGTATTTTATAAGGGCATTTGCAGTGTATTTTTGTGTGATTCTCAACAACACATCCCAGACCACAAAAGAAGACACTTGCAATTCAGCAGTCTCAGAGGCTTCCGCAGTATCAGGGTTTATGTGCAACTCTGACATTATTCACAAAACTTGTCACAAACACCAATCTCAGATTTACTTTTTCATGTGTCCGCTAATTTTCACATTACCACATTTCCTGGCAGGGCCTCCTGTAACCTCCTGATTCATCCTCAGAGTGTTTCTACAAGCAAATCCACCAAGACACTTCTCTGGTGTAAGGGTAAATGCTGCAACAACAGCCATGACCATCCGTCTGCGTCACTTCCAGAGCCCCGGTGCAGCAGCTCACACAGCCAGCACCCCCGGCTCGTAGTGCTGGGTGTCTGGCACAGAGAAGCTCCGCAGCCCCGAAAAAACTGAGCACACGATTTTTCCTTTTTTAAAGTCTCCTGGCAATGCAACCCCAGGACTGGGCTCTGGTCCAGCCTGGCCTGTGTAAGCATTCCTTTAACAAAGGTGAGTAGGTTAATGCTAATACACATGGAGAGCACTCAGAGATCAAAAGCCTTTGGAGAATTGTGAAGAGCCAGCCTGACAGAGGCATTCCACTTTCCTGATTTCTTCCCCCGAAAACCCAGAGCAGGGACATTCAGGGGAGAAGAGCAGGCGCCGCTGACTTGCTCACGGCACCCAAGTCACTCGTGTCTCGCCCACCGATCCGCTGTCTCCTTCTCTCGAAATCCTGCGGCTCCACTGACGTTGTCCTGACTCTAAACACCGAAGCTGTCCCTGCTGCGCTGAAGTTGCATCTGCCTCTGCTGAAACACTGGGAGTGATTTGTTTGGACGGCACATGATAAAACCTGGAAGATTACGAGGAAGAGCAGGGGACCTCAGCATTGGCGGGCCTGGCAAAGCTCCCTGCGATGGGCACCAGGAGCACAGAACATCGACAGGAATGTGAGCTAACGGGGGTGCACAGGCACAAATAACGTCAAGTTACTGAACCCACACCAAAACTCAGGTGTCCGGCAGCACACCCTGCTCTAGGTGACCCTGCTCTGGCAGGGGGGTTGGACTAGATGACCCACAGAGGTCCCTTCCAACCCCGAACATTCTGTGATTCACGGGGCTGTGGTGAACGCACAAGCCTTCGTGGGAGGACCATAGCACACACGGAAGTGTCCTGCCCTCCCATCCATCCAAGCCAGCGAAAGCAGAGACTAGGCTGCGGGCTGTGCCATGGTATCTCTGATCCACCAAGGCTATGCTGCTCTGATCCCAGTCCCATTTGCATCTGTGGCTTCCTAAAATACCCCATGCCAACAGATCACAAGGGTCATTTTGGCTGGGTTTATACCTGCTGCATCAGCCCTTCCATGCCGAGTGTAGGAATCCAAGGTCAGCTGCAGCTCAGCATTCCCACAGTCCATTCTCAGGAACCATTATCATCAACACATTGAGCTTCAGTCTGACTCCTCATCCCTCCAAGAGAGTTCAGCTTTGAGCTATTTATGCCCGGGTGAACAGGAGACCAGTTTTCATAGCAAGGATTAGGACGTGGTTTATTTAGCCTAGCAAACCCCTACTGGGGAGGAGATAGGGTGCTCTCCCCTTTACAGCATCAGGAATAGCGTTACTTGCAATAAAATTGAGGTTGGTGTGGAAATGAATGGGTAGTGCAGAGTACGGAAAGGTGACCAGCCTCAGGATTTCTGACAGCTAGTTTGTATTTTCATTATATTTCCTGCCACGCATCTGCCATCTCACTTTCACCGAGAACCAGACACGCGCAACAAATTTAGGAGGCTCTTTTCTAATTGTCACCAAGCCTTCGTTGCCTGCAGAGTCCGTAGTTACTTGCAGCTGAGTTGACAGCTAAGCATTTCTAACCACACAAGCACAAAATCAACCGAAAATGGGCATTTCCAAGTACAGCGTGGAAATGCTCAGCATGGACGGGCAGCCAGGGAAGAGCAGACACCTCGCACCAGCTGAAAGCCTGCTCCGGGAGGTCCGGCTCCCCTTTGCTGGGCGAGTGCTGCGAGGTGGGATCTCCATCAGCCAAAGCAAGGGTGCTGGTGGCAAACGGGAACAGCCAGGCTGCCGGCAGAGCAGGTTCCCCTCTTTCTTAGAGCCCCGTGGTTTTCCGTACCGCGCCATGAAGAGGAACTTCTGCTCCCCTTGCTGTTCTGCAGACTCCGGCTCCCTCGGGGCAATCAATAGCACTGTGACCACTGGCAGGATTGCAGATCCACTTTAATTGTGAGCCCCTAAACCCACCCGAGTGTTTTCCCCTGCACCACTCTCCAGCAGCGTTAGACTTCCATTTTTGGCACGCTGTCGAAGCATGGTTTGCAACGGATTGAAACTCCCCTGGTCCTGTGGAAGGACCATAGGAAGGTGTATTTTAGCAAAGGGAAGTAAATGATTTTGTGACTGAAACCCATCATCACACGGCCACCAGATTGGAACAGAGAGAGGAAGCTACTGCCAATGTGTTCAGACAAGGATTCTCAAGGAATGAGCATCTCTGTAAATCAGACCATTTTTATCTCATTGTCTGTACTAGCTTCTACAATTGGAAACTGAGCTTATCCGTTGAGTATTTACATCAATAGCTGTAAGTCATTTTGCCTTTAATTCATTTGTATTTACACACCAAATTAAAATAATCCGTTTTCCCACATAGCTTCGTAGGAGCACTGCTTATTCTGACAGTTCCATTCTTAAAATCCTACTTTTCAAAGCAACATAGTCCATAGATTCGTAACATTTTGTAAACATCACCTGAATGGAGTTGTTTACAAAATGCCTACAGAACAGTTTTTTACTGTTACAATTATTGTATTTTCTGGTTATTGCAGTCAATTAAATCTGCCTTTTTGTTAAATAAAGTCATTTTCAGCATTTAGGAAAAAATAAGTAACTGTCCTTCCAACTAAAAACCTCATCTATTTCACAAACAGACAACAAAAGCTCACCAAGGTGCTAGAAATCAACCAAGCCTAAGCAATACCAGGCAAAAGAAAAAATTCGGGAATTCAAGTCTCCTGGTTTTTCCTTACAACGCGCCACAAGCAGGAGCAGCCGTGGGACAGATACCGAGTTTCCAAGCCACGTAACTGTACTTGGAAAAGTGACCTTTCCCAAGTTTTGCTGCCAGTTAAAATAGGGCAACAACAGCACTTTTAACAAAGTGGGCTTGGCTGGCTGGGTTTTTCTTGAGTCCTGAAACAAGCCCTGGTGCATGAAAACATGCTGGGCACAGGACAACATGGGGCATCTGCCTGAAACACACAGCTCTCCTGGGTATTTCCAGTCCCCAGGCCTCCACCACCGCAGACCATGACCACATCCCAGTTTGCGGTGAGCTTATCCCCACATCTCCCACAGAAAACAGGAAAATAATACTGATTAGAGGAGACTCAAGAAGACCGCATAGTCTGGTCACTCAGAGAAAGCGTGGTCGAGCAGCGAGCCAAGCATCAGGTCCTCCCTGTCTCTAGCCAACAGCCACTTCTTCACCATTTCTCCCTCCTGAAACACAGCTGGAGTATCACCTCTTGCCTCCCCTGAGACGTATTTATAATACTTCTATTCTCCATAGTTTAGGTTCTACCAACTTACCTTTCAGGGTGCAAAGCAGCTGTGGCACTTTCTTCAGACCCCTATCTTCTTAAGGACAACTTGTAAAACAGAAGACAAGATTTCAAAGGTGCTGGAGCAAGCAGGACACTTAAGCTACAGGAGATAGGTCTGAGGGCTGGTTGGTCAACAGCCCCATCAACACCTGAGAGGCAGGCACTCATCTTCCTGACTGAATTTGCCCTGTGCAGCCAATTAAGCTAATTGACTAACTCATCTGACATCAGCCTATCAGGCTGCAGTCCCAGGTGAGGGAGAGTCCAAAGGGACAAGACACAACACCTGTACCTGGAGGTGAAAAAGCCCTGCTTGTGACAAGGCTGTGGCTTCAGGCAAACTGAATTGCATGTAAAGGCCATCTGAAAAATGATGGAAATTCTTCAAGGCAAGACAAAGTGTAACATTGCAGCCTATCCTGGCTACTCACTGGGTTTTTTTAAATGCTAGGCATGTGGCTTCCCAAATCTTTACTTCAGCCTCCTGTATTTTAAACAGCCACGTCAGGATGCGGCTCTGAACCTCTCCTGTCTTGGCTTGACCGATACTTTACGAAACAAGCAGTATATAAGAGAAAAGTTTAACAAAAAAACCTGCAGTGGCTGCACCCTCTGCAGCGTTGTAAATACAACACACATTTGATTTAAGAACGGCTATCGACAGTCAGTTAGCTCTACACTCGGGTAAGGACAGTGGTGCAGTAATCATCGTGGCTCTGACAGTTGCCTTGGCAGATGGCTGGCCAAGACCATAAGGGCAAGGCAGGCCTGGGCAACAGCCGGTATGAAAGGTACCACCACCACCTCTGAAAGAGCTCAGAGGTGTAAGGATATGCAGTCTTCAGTTTCCCCCGAAACTGCTTTGGCTTTAACACCCACAGGACAGCAGTTCTGCAGCTGCTTCTCAGTTCTTGTTGTCTGCTGACAGCCTCCAAATGCTGTTCTGCCTCTGATGGGTCTGACAGAAATGTCAGCAGGCACGTGATGCAGCATGTGGAGCAGCTGCTGCAGCATTCTGATAGCCACCATAAAGTACCTAGAGGACTCTGCTGAGCTGGAAAGAGCAAAGATTTCAGGACAGCAACCCGACTTCCAAACTTCCAAGGGAGAGGTGGCTGAGTTACATGACTAGGTGTTTCTTGGCTTGTCGCTTTTGCTCTGGACCACTTCTTGCTGAACACATCGCTGTATCTTAGGGAACGCGATACATAAAACACCAACAGGCACTCAGCTAGCATCTTTTGTTTAATAAAGTCTTTTCTGTTTTTAAAAAAGTTTACAAGACAGATGTGTTCCACATGATAAACAACTTGCGGCTGATCTTTCCTTTTAATAACTTGATCCATGCAGAAAGACAGGACTGCCTAACTTGCTGTTACGTAGCAGCTGAACAATATAACAAAATATACACAGGTCTACACGCTGCCATGGAAACAAGTAGCACATGACACCATAGAGTGAGAATCAAAATACAAGCCTGCTTCGATAATTTTTAGAATTCAAGTGTAAGTTTAAGGAAAAACCCTGATTTATCTTTGAAATGGAGCTTCTGTACTGAAAGTGAATGCTCTGCTACAATCTGCCTACAGTCACCCTTTACTCTCCAGTCGTGAAAACACATACACAAAAATGTTACAAGTCCTTTGAACTACTGGTACTACACACTAACAACTGAATCTGATAGCGTGGCTTTGGTTGTTTCAATACAGAATGATACACATCTCTAATGTCTTAGTTCTGTTTTCCCATTTTCCTTTCTTTTCCAAAGTCGTCGAAGAGCGATTCTGAGGTGAATGTCTGTCGGGTCCCTCTTGAAGAATCCGGTGTAGATTTTGTACAAGAAACTGTGGAAGGCAAAAAACCAGGAACGTTACTATAAGTAGAGTAGAAATAGAGTATGATTCCTTCAAATCCCGTAGAGAAAAGCATCTTTACTTATTGTCACAGCATGAAAATTAATGCTAGGCTATCAGTATATCACTTTTTAGAAATGCTCAGCTCCCTATAATTTCAAATGCTACTGGAAAGGTCAGACTGACCAAAGCACTCTAGGCGGCCTGCAAACTCCTGCTCTCTAAAATGTTCTTATTTCAACACACAACCCACCAACAGCAGGGGAAACCTTGTGATCCTGTAGCATAGCAGCAACGCCAACAGTGGCTGAGAAACAGCACATCCTCACTTTATTTTCTAAGAACACATTCTTCTTCCCAATCGTTTCTCCTTCTCCTACTCATCTCTAATATTAAAACAGGAAGGTGCACCGAGCATAAAGCCTAAGAGAGCAGAACTCGCGTGCTTCCAGCTGTTGTATTATATGACACTCAGCTTTTGACTGCAACCCAATTAATGAACAGAACTGTTCATCAGACACCAGTCTTGAAGCTTCTCTCTGTGAGGCCAGGGAAAAGCCTGTGGACTTTAAAGTTTCTTTGATCCCTTTTCCAAGTCAATTGAAAACAAATTATCATATTTCCAGAAATCTATTCAATGCCTTATACAAATTCCTTCATATTAGTGCCACACAGATAATATGAACTTCTATAAAACAGAAATCATCCCCCAATGTTTCACCACCAGGGAAATTCATGGGTTAAAAAAATTTAAAAAAGGCAACTTTCTGAGCAATTGTGATATTGAATTGTATAAATCACAAGCCAGACTGAACGCTAGGGATCAGAAAACAAGAGACAGGTTAGACCTTAACTTTGCAAAGCTGTTAATAATTAACCTGCACAGCCAGCTCAGGGCTTCAGTGTGCAGATGAGGGAAATAGCACTTTCTTGAGAGCTTCCACACGTTTGAAAGTTCAAAGTCAGCAATGTAGCTTTTTTGCGGGAGGAAGGAAGGCAGGGAAATCTGTGTCCTGAAGACTTAAAACTGACGGAAAGACTATGATAAATACATATGCAGATAACCCCAGAAAAATGATTCAGGTCTATATTCAGATGCTCTTCATTCCATTCACTCAAGTTCAGGCATGTCCTGCAGATCAAGTGCCTGAAGGGAGAGGAAATCCCTGTTCTCACATTGGATTCAAGCAGCAAGTCTCGCTCTTAATGCCTGGCCTAATGTTCTCATTAGATGGTGAAAGTATATGAAACAGCCTGTTACCAAGTCATCCTGGGAAAGAACAAACCGAGGAGGAACCGGGCAGGAACCACGATAGGAAGTTGCAGTTCTGGCCTGTCTCCAACCTCTAAAATGTTTTGCACTTCCATTGCTGGGGACTATGTGTTATTGGGGTACTACAAATGGTGGGGGCTGTTCCAGAGTGACCAGCCTGCTAGCTAAAGTCAGGGAGAGAAACACAACCATGTATCTCCACTCTGAAGAATACAAAGCAGGGTTCTGAGTTACGGGATTGCTGCATTATAGCACCAAAATTATAGAATTCCTGAGTCAACCTGGTAACAGTTGTGGCAGGGCCAGACTCTCAGATACACACCTCCAGCCAAGCACACAGCTGGGAGGAGGCTTTCACTCACTTCTGCATTCTGGTGTGCTGGCTGCAGAGAGAAGCAAGATTATCACAATTTCACCTTTCAGCACTTCTAATGCAACTCTCTGCACGTGCTGCTTCAGTAAAGCACCCAGGGTTAGAGACTGTCAGGCAGGAGGACACAGCTTTACAGAGGAGTGGAAGAGCCAAACCTGAGGCCTGCTTTGGATGAGCTAAGGCTCTCTTTCTGAAGACACGTCTCCTTCTGCTCCACTGCTTGCGCTGGGGTCATCCTTGTTACGGGGGGCATTTCTTTCTCTACTTGATTCAGAGGGCACCTTGGTTCTGGTCTTCTCTTTTCTTTGTTGCTGTTTTTCAAGTTTTGTCAGCTATTCACAAAGTAAGGAGAGTGAGAAAACACTTCCGGGAATAAAATAATTTCAGAAGATTATTTCTAAAAAATCGTTAACTGTGAGCATTTGTATAAAACTTGCAACTCAGATTCACAACACCAATACATATACCAAAAAAACAGAAAAAAAAAAGCCCGCGGCTTAGATTTTCAGAAATTTGGAGAAGACAGTGAATTATCGTCATGCGCTAACCTGATCACCCCCTGAGCATAAGAGAGAAGTGCACATATTCAAAGGACTACCCTCCGCTTTTCAGAGTTCCTTCTCTGCCCAACACAATCTGCAACCGTGGAAAAGAATAAAATGAAAGGACCAAAAGGGGGAGCTGGATTCCACCAAACTCCTCTTCTGTTTTGGGTCTGAAGTGGTAATTCTGTAGTTGCAAAGCTGCTGACAACAGACGTATCCCAAGCTCTGCCATCAAGCATGCAAGAATCAATTTATGTTACTCTTTATCCAGAGAAAGAGATATATAAGCTTTAGCATCACCTAGGTTATAGAATAACCATTTCAAACCAGCTTGGACAAAACCCTCAGCTAACACTGCCTTGCCACCTCTCAGCAGAAATGCTTTCAATGCTACTAAGAGTCAAACTAAGTCACACACAGCTGTCATTTCTACATCCCTTTTCCATTTTTCAGAGAAGCAGGTTGCAGTAAGTTCTGGGGACACTACATATTGATAGCTACTTAAATCACTACACTTTGTGCAGTTTATCTGTTTGGATAATTTCTATCATCTACTGATTTTCTCTACTGCTTCCACAATTTCCCCAAGATAAAGCATGCTAGTCATAAATCATAAT